TTTACATGTTTTTTTGTGTAATGTTGACAATATTCCAAAATAAAATTCTGGTAACAGCTGCACAAGTCTGTAAATTGTGTAAGTTAAATGAGTGAATGTTATGATATGTGAAATATATCTCAATAAAACTATAATTTTTTTTTTAAAAAATTAAAAGTAAAGAAGCAAAAGAAATACTTACTTTCCAACTCATTTATAAGGCAGCTTTTCCCTGATACCAAACCAGAAAAAGATAATATCAAAAAATTTAAAATATAAAACAAAAGGATGAAAACTGTAAACCAACATACTTCTTGAACTTAATACAGGGCATCTACAAAAAAAGTACAGTTAACATTATAATTTATGGTAAAAGATAGAAGACTTTCCCCTTGGAAGAATAAGAAGAAGGCAAGGATGTCCAATATAAAGTTTCAGTTAGTACAATAATAAGAAGAAATAAAAGGCATAAAGGTTGAAAAGGGAGAAACAAAAAGTCTATATTCACAGATGACATAACTGCCTACTCATAAAATCCTAAAGAATCTATAAGAAAACTTCTAGATTAAATATGTTTAGCAAAAGCTTCAGCTATAAGGTCAATATACAAAAATTAATCATATTTCTCTGGCTATGTATGATTGGAAACCCTGTAGAAATAAATAAATCCTTAGGTATAAATAAAACAAAATACATATAGTATTTGTAAGCTGAAAACTATAAAAGCAGATAAAACATATCTAAGAAGACCTGGAGAAATAAACAGTACACCAAACCCCCATGATATGCACTTTACCTATACACAAACCTGTACATGTACCCCTGAGCCTAAATAAACGTTTAAAAAAAGACAAAAAAATGGAGAGACATCCTATGTTTATTGATTGGAAGACTCAACACAGTAAAAAGATGAACTCTCAGCCAGGCATGGTGGCTCACGCCTGTAATCCCAGCACTTTGGGAGGCTAAGGCGGGTGGATCACAAGGTCAAGAGATCGAGACCATCCTGGTCAACAAGGTGAAACCCCGTCTCTACTAAAAAATACAAAAAATTAGCTGGGCATGGTGGCGCGTGCCTGTAGTCCCAGCTACTCAGGAGGCTGAGGCAGGAGAATTGCCTGAACCCAGGAGGCGGAGGTTGCGGTGAGCCGAGATTGAGCCATTGCACTCCAGCCTGGGTAACAAGAGCGAAACTCCGTCTCAAAAAATAAATAAATAAATAATAATAAAAATCACAGCAGGATTTGTTTAGATATAGTCAAGCTGATTCTAAATCTGTATGAAAAGGAAGAGGAAGTAGAGTAGCTAAAACAATTTTGAAAAAAGAATAAGTTGCAGGAAACATAATACCTAATTAAACAATACTAATTTTAAAAGCTGCCATAAAACTACAATAATCAAAATAGTGTAGTATTGGTGAAAGGACAGACATATGGATTAATTGGAACAGAATAAAAGTCCAAAAATAGATTCACACATATATGGCTAATTGACTTTTCACAAAGGTACAAAAGCTATTCAATGGAGAAAGGACGACCTCTTCAAGAAATGGTAATAATCGAATAACCATATGCAAAAAAGAATCTCACCCAAAACCTCACACCTTATACAAAAAGTAATTTAAAAGGTTTCATAAATCTAACTGTAAATATAAAACTATAAAACTTTTAGGAGAAAACATAGAGGAAAAATTTCTGGCCTGTATTTAGCCAGAGTTCTTAAATGTCACACCAAAATCATAATTTTTTTAAAAATTTGATAAAGTATATTTATTAAAATGATACACTTTTGCTCTGCCAATACACTGTTAAGAGAATGAAAAGACAAGCTACAGACTCGAAGAATATATTCGTAAATCACGTCCTACAAAGAAGTTTTATCAAAAATAGAGAAAAAATTCCCAGAAATCAACCACATGTAAACAACATAATTTTCTAAAATGACAAAAATTGTTGTCTTTGGGATAAATTGAGTAAAGGGTACACAGGATCCCTCTGTATTATTTAACTGCATGTAAACTGACAATTATCTCAATGAAAATTTCATTTAAAAATAAAACAAGATACAAAAAAAAAATAGAAAAGGCTTGAACAAACACTTCACCACAGAGAATATACGGATCACAAGCACAAGAAAAAAATGCTCAACATCACTAACCATTAGGGGAATGAAAATTATAATAAAATAACCACATTATATCACTATATACCTATTAGACTGACTAAAAAAAGAATACTAGTTATCAAGTGCTGAAGAGCATGCAGAGAAACTGGAAGTCTCACAATTGCTGATGGAATGTAAAATGATACAGCTGCTTGAAAAAATGGTTTGTTAGTTTTTAAAATATGTTAAATATGCATACCATATGACGCAGCAATCTCATTTCTGGGTATTTTATCCAAGCGATCTGAAAACTTCTGTTCACCCACAAAGCTGTATGTGACTATTTATGGGAGCTTTATTTGTAAAACCCCAAACTGGAAACAACCCAAATGTCCTCCAACAGGAGAATGGATAAACAAACTGTGGTACATACATGACAACACCAAATAAGTTGAGGAATCCCAAAGACAGTCTTGAGAGACATGTTTCTACTATGAGATCATATTTCTTTGGCCATGGTTATTTAGAAACAGGTGGACATCTGACTGCAGAACAGCCCAAATACAGGCCAGGCAATGGGCTCTGACCCATTTTTTGGCATGAAAAAGATGAGCAGGGACAGTCAAATTTTCTGTCCCTGGAATCTGACAAAGGTCAGTTTAATAAAGACCTGAAAGTGAAAGAATGCTTTGGGATCACGAGAAACCAAAGTTATCTAAAAGCCAGTTTTGGGAAAGCACAAACTATGCATTAAAAAGAAGCCATTAGGGAATGAAACAGAATAAAATAAAGTATAGCTATTAGTGGTACTGCATCAGACTGAAGGTTCGTTTACTTCTGCTATTAAATCCCGAGAGCTGCCTTCAATCTAGGTCTGCCCTTTAGTTCTGTCTTTACAAGATCATCCAAGTACAGTTCCTGTTCTTGAGTTCTGTATTAGTTGTGTATTGTTGTTGTAACTAATTACCACAAACTTAGTGGCTTCAAACAACACAAATTGATCTCACAGTTCTCTAGGTTACAAGTACAACATGGGCCTCCCTGGCCTAAAATCAAGATGTTGCCAGGGCTGTGTTCCTTCTGAAGGCTATAGGAGAGATCTGTTTCCTGGCCTTTCCAGCTTCCAGAAGTTGCCTGCATTCCTTGGCACTCTTCTTCCATCTTCAAAGCCAGCAATAATATTGTACCTTTCTGACACTGTTTCCCTTTTCTCTGACTTTCTCTTCTGTGTCTCTTCTCTTCTACTTTTAAGGATCCTGGTATAATGTAATCATGGACCTACCTGGATAATCCAGGATAATCGCTCTATCTTAAGAGTCAGCAGATTAGTAACTTTCATCCCATCCTGCAAGCTTAATTCTCCTTTGCCATATATCCTAACATAGTCACAAGTTTCAGGGATTTGCATATGGACATTTTAGGGGTGACATTATTCTGCCTACCACAAGTTCTACTGGGATTTCACATATGTCCTTACAATGCATCTTTAACCCCACCTGACTATACACATATAACCAAAGAGGCCTGATCTGATTAACAACTTCTTTATTAGTTAAGTAAAGATTGGATGCTCTTTTTTTCAAAGTTAAAGAAGTGTATTTTACTAATATTCTTATAACTAATAAAGATTGGCCAGGCGTCGTAGCACATGCCTGTAATCCCAGTACTTTGGGAGGCCGAGGTGGATGGATCATGAGGTCAGGAGTTCAAGACCAATCTGGCTAACATGGTAAAACCCCATCTCTACAAAAAATACAAAATTAGCTGGGTGTGGTGGCGGACCCCTACCTGGGAAGCTGAGGCAGGAGAATAGCTGGAACCCAGGAGGTGGAGGGTTGCAGTGAGCTGAGATCACGCCATTGCATTCCAGCCTGGGTGACAAGAGCAGGACTCCATCTCAACAAATAAATACAAGCGATTCTTCCTGCCTCAGCCTCCCAAGTAGTTGGGAATTATAGGCATGCACCACCATCCCCAGCTAATTCTGTAATTTTGGTAGAGACGGGGTTTCACCATGTTGGTCAAGCTGATCTCAAACTCCTGACCTCAGGTGATCCACACCACCTTGGCCTCTCAAAGTGCTGGGATTACAGCCATGAGACACCACACCCAGGCGGAGCATGAGTGTGTATGAGAGAGAGAGACAGAGACAGAGAGAGAGAGAGAGAGAGAGAAGAAGAGAGAGAGAGAGAGAGAGATGAGAGAGATGAGAGAGAGAGAGAGAGTGTGTGTGTGTGTTGTGTGTATATATATATATATTTTTTTTTTGGTGACAGAGTTTTGCTCTTGTCACCCAGGCTGGAGTGCAATGGTGCAATCTAAGGCTCACTGCAACCTCCCCCTCCTGGTTCAAGTGATTCTCTCACCTCAGCTTCCAGAGTACCCGGGATTACAGGCACCTGCCACCACGCCAGCTAATTTTGTATTTTTAGTAGAGATGGAGTTTCGCCATGTTAGCCAGGCTGGTCTTGAACTCCTGACCTCAGGCAATCCACCCACCTCAGCCTCAAAAAGTGCTGGGATTACAGGCGTGAGCCATCGTGCCCAACCAAGTATATTTTTAAGATTATCTTGTTACCTACAACTCTCCAACAAACTCTAAATGTTAGACCAGAAGTTCCCATTGACTGATAACATTTCAAAAATTACTGTGGGGATTGGTATTGGGCTTCCAGCTGCTTGTTTTTCAAATAAAAGAATGAACCACACTCAGCTTCTCGCCACAATCTACCAAGTATCCTAATCGGTATTACATAAAAGGACATTTAATACCAAAACATAAAAAAGAATCTCAGAATAATATGTACTTTTAAAAATTATTGTAGCCTAATTAAAAACAAATAGTATTATAATAATTTTTCCAATTTTTGCTGATCTTAGACTAGGTTTTTAAAGAATTACTTTTATGAGTGATTTACCTGTAGCAACTATGCCATTGTCCACATGAGTCAAGGACTGGGGGCGGCTTCGAAGTTTGCTTTTGAAAGATCTGGTCGACGTGGTGATGCAGGTGGCAAAGGAATCTCTGTAGATTGGGTTTTTGCTATCTTTAATTGAGCGAAGGCGTTCATAGAGTTCCTGCAGCTCCTTATTCTGCTGGGTTTGAAGATTTACCACCTCCTGAATGTGTCTGAATGAAAATCATGCAGAAAGCATTTTAATGGCACTGGCTCCATAAAGATGAGCCAAGAAACTCTATACTAGTATAAGTGAAGTTTAACAAGGAATTTAGATTAAGAATAGGGTAATGCAGACTGGGCACAATGGCTTACGTCCATAATCCAGCACTCTGGGAAGCCAAGGCAGGAGTACTGCTTGAGGCCAGAAGTTCAAGACAAGCCTGGGTAACAGAGGGAGACCTTCTCTCTCTTAAAACAAAAATAGAAAATTAGCTGGGCACAGTTGGTACATGCCTGTAGTCCCAGATACTCAAGAGGCTGAGGCAGGAGGATCACTTGAGCCCAGGAATTCAAGGCTGCAGTGAGCCAAGATCACAACACTGTACTTTAGACTGGGTAACAGAGAGAGACCCTATCTCAAAAAAGAAAGAAGAAAAAGAAAAGAAAAGAAAAAGGAAGGAGGGAGGGACGGAGGAAGGGGGAAATACAGAGTATTTCCACAATTTCAGGAGGGGAAGTGGGAAATACCTTACTAAGCATAACATTAAACTATAATAATCACGCATGAAGAAAAAGATGAACAAATTTCTAAATTGAAATACAGTGAAAGTCAGTAAAACAAAATATAAAGTCAAATAGTATTAATAATATTAACATTTTTGCTGAGTGCAGTGGCTCACGCCTGTAATCCCAGCACTTTGGGAGGCTAAGGCAGGATGATTGCTTGAGGCCAGGAGTTTGATACCAGCCTAGACAACACAGTGAGACCCTGTCTCTATAAAAAATAAAAAATAAAAAAATTAGCCAGGTATGGTGCATGTGTCTGTAGTACAAGCACCTCAGGATGCTGAGGCAGGTAGATCTCTTGAGCCAGAGGTCGAGGCTTCAGTGAGCAATGACAGCACCACTGCACTTCAGCCTGAGCAACAGAGCAAGCCCTCATCTCAATAATAATTTAATAGTAATAAAAGAATAAATAAAAATCGGTGAAGAAACCATAATGCTAAAAGAACACTGAAGGCAGAATAAATTATCTTTTAAGATCCCTTCTAGGCTAGGCGTGGTGTCTCATGCCTGTAATCCCAGCACTCTGGGAAGCTGAGGCAGCACTGTGGGAGGCTGAGACAGGAGGATGGCTTGAGGCTAGGAGTCTGAGACCAGTTTGGGCAACACAGGGAGACATCATCTCTACAAAAAATTTAAATATTAGCTGGATGTGTTACACATCTGTAGTCCCAGATACTTGGGAGGCTGAGGTGGGAGGATGGCTTGAGTCCAGAAGGTAGAGGCTACAATGAGCCATGAGTGCACCACTGTGCTCTAGCCTGGGCAGCACAACAAGACTCTGTCTCAAAATAAAAGATCCTTTCCAGGCCAGGTGCGGCGGCTCACACCTGTAATCCCAGAACTTTGGGAGGCTGAGGCAGGCAGATCACCTGAGGTCAGACTATCAAGACCAGCCTAGCCAACATGGCAAAACCCCATCTCTACTAAAAATAAAAATAACAAGCCAAGCATGGTGGTGCACGCCTGTAGTCCCATACTCAGGCGGTTGAGACATGAGAATCACTTGAACCCAAGAGGGAGAGTTGCAGTAAGCCCAGATCATATCACTGTACTCCAGCCTGATCAACAAAGCAAGACTCTGCCTCAAAAAAAGAAAAAAAAACAGGAGGCCAGGCGCAGTGCTCACGCCTGTAATCCCAGTTCTTTAGGGAGGCTGAGGCAGGATCATGAGGTCAGGAGTTCAAGACCAGCCTGGCCAAGATGATGAAACCCCGACTCTACTAAAAAAAAAAAAAAAAAAAATTTAGCCAGGCGTGGTGGCGGGTGCCTGTAATCCCAGCTATGCAGGAGGCTGAGGCAGAGAACTGCTTGAACCCGGGAGGCGGAGGTTGCAGTGAGCTCAGATTGCACCACTGTACTCCAGCCTGGGTGACAGAGTGAGATGACTCAAAAAAAAAAAAAAGATTCTTTCCAGGTCTTGGAGGTTATGAGAATCCATTTCTCACAATCAAAATAAAGTACATATTCATAACCAGCCAGCTACAAAAACTTAGCCAGTTACAAAAGTTACCAGTCATTTGGCAATGGTTTAAAGAACCATTAAAAATAGCAATAGAATACTGATTCACAAATATGAAACTACTTTAATACTTTTATTATAAAAAGTATCAGTGTACATATACTGCATAGTACTTAATATATAAGTTGACATATACACAATGTAATGCCAAGCCTGTATGTATATTTTAAAGTAGAATATCAGCCTCTGGTGATGAATATTTAAAGTATATATTCACAATTTTCTTGCAAGCTCAGTCAAAAAACCTGAAACAAGTTAGAGAGAAATACTATAATTATCACTGGAATGACAGTTAGGGTTTTTTTTTTTCCCCTCTGAGCAAGGCCTTAGAAACTAAGAAATTCCAAGGATTTTAACATGCTTTAATTCTTGCAGCACTCAAATGTAGCATCCAAGTGGAGCATCATTCAAACATGTAAGTACTTGACTAAAATCCAGCTTTCTTTTTTTAAATTTTTTGAGATGGAGTCTCACTCTATCGTCCAGGCTGGAATGCAGTGGTACAATCTCAGCTCACTGTAACCTCTGCCTCCCAGGTTCAAGCAATTCTCTCTGCCTCAGCCTCCTGAGTAGCTGGGATTACAGGTGCCCGCCACCACACCTGGCTAATTTTTATATTTTTAGTAGAAACCGGGTTTCACCATTTGGCCAGGCTGGTCTTGAACTCCTGACCTCAGGTGATCCACCTGTCTTGGCTTCCCAAAGTGCTGGGATTAGAGGCGTGAGTAACTACAATCAGCCAAATCAAGCTTTTTACATGCCTATATTTTTAGTCCTCTCTGGTTCTGCCTTCTTTACAAATTGTTCAAGTCCCAGAACAGTGCAGAAATTCTCTAAAGCATAAGATATATTCAAACTTCGCTAGAGTTGGTTTCAACTTCTCAAGTAATGCCATGGGATCATCAATAGGAGGCTAGTAATTAACTTATGAATATATACATATGATGGAATACTCTGGAACTGTCAAAAATAGAATGACATATCTCCAAGATATCATGAAATGGTGAAGAAAAGCAAGATGAAAGAACAGCCTTGCAGTTTAAGTTACTATTTGGGGGAACAAAGAATGAAATACTTACATTTATTTCTATAGTTATAGACTAACTGGATATATAAAAAAACAGGTAACATTTATTGTGTCTAAGGAGAGAACCTGAGTAGTTCAGGTACAGTGCTAGGAGGGAGACTACTGGTTACCCTTTTGTACCTTTTGAATTTTGAACTGTGTGGATAGAATTTGAATTTAGAAACTTAATATGAATTCCTTCCTCCCTTCCTCCCTTCCTCTTGTACCTTTTGAATTTTGAACTGTGTGGATAGAATTAGAATTCAGAAACTTAATATGAATTTCCTCCCTCCCTCTATCCTTCCCTCCCTCCCTCCCTCCCTCTCTCCCCTCCTTCCCTCTTTCCCCTTTCTTCCCTTCCTTCTCTTCTTCCCTTCTTTGACAGCGTCTTGCTCTGTCACCCAGGCTGGAGTGCAGTGGCACAATATCTTGGTTCACTGCAACCTTCAACCTCCCAGGCTCAAGCAATTCTCCTGCCTCAGCCTCCCAAGTAGCTGGGATTACAGGCGTCCGCGACCACACCTGGCTTATTTTATTTTTTTGAGATTGAGTCTTGCTCAGTCGCCAGGCTGCAGTGCAGTGGCGCGATCTCATCTCACTGCAACCTCCACCTTCTGGGTTCAAAGCGTTTCTTCTGCCCTCAGACTCCTGAGTAGCTGGTACTACAGGCGCATGCCACCACACACAGAGAATTTTTGTGTTTTTAGTAGAGACAGGGTTTCATCATGTTGGCCAGGATGGTCTCAATCTCTTGACCTCATGATCTTCCTGCCTTAGCCTCCCAAAGTGTTGAGATTACAGGCATGAGCCACCCCACCTGGCTAATTTTTTTTTTTTTTAAGTAGAGACAAAGTTTCCACCATGTTGGCCAGGCCAGTCTCAAACTCCCGACCTTAGGTGATCCACCAGCCTCTGCTTCCCAAATAGCTGAGATTACAGGCATGAGTCCACCACACACAGCTGCTGGCCTGAATTTTTTTTTTTTGAGATGAAGTTTTGCTCTTGTCACCCAGGCTGGAGTGCAATGGTGCGATCTTGGCTCACTGCATCCTCTGCCTCCCGGTTTCAAGCAATTCTCCTGCCTCAGCCTCCCGAGTAGCTGGGATTACAGGCACCCACCACCACGCCTGGCTAATTTTGCTATTTTAGTAGAGACGGGGTTTCTCCATGTTGGTCAGGGCCAGTCTCGAACTCCTGACCTCAGGTGATCTGTCCACCTCAGCCTCTCAAAGTGTTGGGATTACAGGCAATGAGCCACTATGTCTGGCCTGAATTTCTTTCTTTAAAACGACCTATTTATAAACTAAATACAAAACAGCATTCTATTGAAAAAATATATTATAATATCACTAGTGAAGGTTGATTACCTTAGTCACCAAATAATAAAGTTGATCTTTAAAGTATCTTACCTATTCCTAAAGATGAACCACTATCTCTGATTGTAATAAGTCAGCTGTTTACTTATCAAATGTGAAATTATATAAGAATAGTTGTAAAAATCTAAAACCAAAGTCCTGAAGAATAAGGATTGTAAAGGTTAGCAAGAAGAGTAATTAAATCATATTGGTAAATAAGCAATTGTAATTAGTCTTCAGACCATGAAAAACATTTTATATATAAGGACTTTTTATCATTCATAAATGTTTAGCATTAGCATTCTTTGTAGTTTTCAATCATTAAAATGTCACCAATCCTAAATTAGTTACCAATCAAATACTATGTTCTATAAAACCAGGACAATGAGATTTGGGACACAAGAGAAACAGTCCTTACTTTTCTCGTAATCTTTGAAGCTCCACCTTCAAGTCCTCATCCTCTATTTCTGATTCATCATCACTGCTCATTGGGGAAGACGGTGAATAGAAGAGTGAAACTCTGTTTTTGAGCATAAGCTTGTTCTTCGTGGTGGGGTAAGCACTGACACTCTCTGGACCAGTCTTTGCTCCTGACTTTCCACTGTCAGCAAGACTGGCTGAAAATTCACTATCAGAGCTAGGCTGTTTCCCAGCAGTCAGCATCTCTTTCTCTTTAAGCAATGGTTCAGATCCAGACTGCATGCTACTTCCTGTGGCTGGAGTTTCTTCCCAGTTCCTTTTCTGGGTCATTGAAGATACATCAGTCTCACAAGCTGTGCTGAAAGATAAGAAGTTGTCACCTTGTTTGGGAACTCCTTTATTTTGTTTACAGGTTTCATGAACGAGCTTGTAACTTCTCAGAAGAAATGAAGTTTTTGGATTGTGTATGGCAGGTTCTATTTCTACCAACTGAGACTTTGCTGTTTTAATAAAGGCTTCTTCACTAGAATGATTCGTCTCACTGAACACTGATAGTGTTCTACTCCAAAAGATGTCACTTTTGCTGACTGCTGCTGAGGAACGGCAATCACCTGTGATACAAAAAGGTAAAAGTGGTTAGCACAGGTCAGAGAAGTAGATGGTCTGCTGTGATGTATATTTATTGATACTAGCAAAACTTATTTATAGCCCCAAATTCAGTCTTTCAATCAGGCCCCTTGGGTAAAGAGAGTAGGTGTCATATTGCTCAAACAAAATTCCACAATTAGAGCTGCTGAGATTCTAAAGGACATGAAATTACATTTACGAAAGAAGACCCACCCACCTGCAAAAAATGATAACCTATTTCTGTGCTCTTTTCCAGCTACCAAAATCTCCATTTTTTTTTTTTTTTTTTTGAGATGGAGTTTCGCTCTTGTTACCCAGGCTGGAGTGCAATGGCACGATCTCGGCTCACCGCACCTCCGCCTCCTGGTTCAGGCAATTCTCCTGCCTCAGCCTCCTGAGTAGCTGGGATTACAGGCACACGCCACCATGCCCAGCTAATTTTTTGTATTTTTAGTAGAGACGGGGTTTCACCATGTTGACCGAGATGGTCTCGATCCACCCGCCTTGGCCTCCCAAAGTGTTGGGATTACAGGTTTGAGCCACTGTGCCCGGCAAAATCTCCATTTTTTTTTTTTTCTTTTTTGAGATGGAGTTTCGCTCTTGTTGCCCAGGTTGGAGTGCAATGCACAATCCTGGCTTATTGCGACCTCCGCCTCCTGGGTTCACGTGATTCTCCTGCCTCAGCCTCCCGAGTAGCTGGAATTACAGGCATGCCCCACCATGCCCAGCTAATTTTGTATTTTAGTAGAGATGGGGTTTCTCCATGTTGGTCAGAATGGTCTCGAACTCCAACCTCAGGTGATCCACTCTCCTTGGCCTCCCAAAGTGCTGGGATTATAAGCGTCAGCCACCGCGCCTAGCCCAATCTCCATTTCTTTAGACTCATCTTTACTGATGGCTTCAAAAGGTGAGGGGATGCATGCAAGGTGAACAAATTAAATATAACAATGATCTACATTTAAAGAAAGTATCATCTACAGACCAAGATCTGCAGTGGCTGTTACATTTTATAATGCCCTTGTAATAAGTAATAAGGATTCAATCAAAGACACAACCTGGAACCGGCCCCGCTGAAATGATCCACTCATCGCTTTACATCTATTCAAAGCCCTAGTATCAGCTGTGGACTCCCGTGTCAGAGGAATGGGATCAGGAGCAATTGCTGATCTCATCTCTTCTGTTTCACTGCAAGTTTTGCCAAATCAGTAAGTTGAAAAGAGAAAATTGTTTAAGAACTAAATTTGTTTACATTACCAAAAATGAAGAAAAGTAGAAAAAGCTTAAGTCCTGCTAGACAATTAAAAGGTGTTAATGTAATAAGCAACATTGTATAAGTCCTAAGTCTAAATCAGACATTGCAAGATTTATCCCAAGACTTAGTACTATATGAAATGAATAACTGAAAAACCAAATTAGTTACAAAAGGAAAAAATAAAATGGCAATGACATTAATGGGACATGTCACATACATGGGCTATGTGGAAAAAGTGGCAAGATTTGTGTATGAACAAAAAAAAATAAGTAAATGAAAAGTGATGTTACCTAGTCTATGTCCCTGACTGTAAGCACACTACCTTGACGGACTTTTTGATCTCTTGAAAAAGCTGGTTGACTGCCGTAGCCTGTATGCCCAGCTTTTTAATTTGCGAGTCCAGGATTTCTTGCTAATAGGATTTTTGAGACTAGGACAAGTAAAGCTTAGGCCAAAATATCCACCTCCTGTCTGCGATGAATGGCTCCACCACTTGACACAGCAGCAGGATAGGCCTCTGGATCCCCTGGAAGTGAAGCATCTGAGGACATCTCCTAATAGAGACAAAAAATAAAAACAAACAAACAAACAAAAAAACAAAAAAACACAAGAAACAAGAAAAACCAAGTGGTAATAATTTAGGTAAGGTGAAGCTTTTTTTTTTTTTAAATAACATTGGAATTTCTTGTATGGACTAATCTGTAACCCAAATAAGGTATTTATTATATATATTAGTTGCATTAATAGTAGCATATCAGACTGAACCTGAAGTATTCAATTTTTAAAATTAAGCCTACTTTCTTTAAAAATATTATTTAGACTTTAGTAGATAAGAGATTATTAATCTTCTAACCCAAACATTTTCATCATTATATCAACTTTGAAAACTTAAAATCAAATTAAAATTTCCTTCATATGTGCCAGTTTACTAAAAGGTTACTAAAACTCCATGCTATTGTCATGAAAATTTTCATATATGTCCATATGATTTAAGAGACTTTGTTAAAGATATATAAAGGACATCAAAATTACTTCAAAATCATGCTCTAAAAGTTCTTGTTAGCATCAGGCTATGCTGGCTATAAAATCACTCCCCTCTTTTTATCCTCCTACTCCCCACAAAAGGCCCCGATTTAACTGTTTGTATCTAAATGAGTGCTTTAAAAATAAATCTCCCATAATAACTAATATGAAAAGTTAGCACAGACAACCAGAAATACTTTGGGAAGCATGAGAAGGGTGACTACAAATCTAGAGATTAAAAAAATATATAAAAGCACAAAGAATGGGATTTAGCATTTGCCTGAAGGAAGACAGCCTCTATGGCAGTAAGTATGATGTCTTGGGAAGCATTATTAATACTTAGGGCAGGGCCAGGTACGGTGGCCTCACGCCTGTATGCCCACCTTTTGGGAGGCTGAGGCAGGTGGATCACCTGAGGTCGGAGTTCAAGATCAGCCTGGCCAGCATGGTGAAATCCTGGTCTCTACTAAAAATGCAAAATTAGTCTGGTGTGATGGGGCATGCCTGTCATCCCAGCTACTGGGAGGCTGAGGCAGAAGAACTGCTTGACAACCCGGGAGGTGGAGTTGCAGTGAGCTGAGATCGCACCATTGCACTCCAGCTGGGTGACAAGAATGAAACTCTGTCTCCAAAAAAAAAAAAAAACAAAAAAACCTAAGGCAGGTGAGCACATATAAAATAAAATTACCCTGCAGAATCAAGACTTCCAGAGATGCAAAAGAGAAAAAAATGTGAGCAATCAGTTTTTTATTTTCTGAAGTCTCATTTTAAACTAGTAATAATTAGTTTCATGAGGAGAAAAAAACAGTACTACAATTTAGAAAATGTTACATTGGTCCCACTGAAATTATAGAAAAGAATTTAATATGCAGTAACTGGATCAAGATGGAAAATTAAATATTGTTCTAGCCTTTCTTATCAATCAAAATTTACAAACACAATAGGAAATAGATATAGACACATGAATATACGACTGAAGGAGGAAAAAGCAGACCATGACATATGTAGCAATTGTTCAAAATGCTGCAAACTTGGGTGGCTGATACAGCAGCGGGAGAGAACCTTGGCCAACCAAAAGATGAGTGGTCGGCTAGAATGCTTACAAAACTCTATCGATCTGTCTTCTGTCTCTTTCAATGTTATCTTTTAACGCTCTCCTGCTTGCTGGCCTTCTTTCAGTTCCTTGAACAGATCTCTACCTGTGCCTATCACCACCACATACCAGGTCCTTCCCTGACCACCATATACAGGTTAGTATCCATTTTTCTCTACTAGAATGTGAGCTCCACAAAAACAGAGGTTTTGGCTTATTCCCTGCTAAAGAGATGTTCACTGAATGAAAGAATGAACTGGTTGGGATAACGAAGAAGGAACAGGCAGGCAGTTCTGTCCCTTCCCTCCAAACTTACACACCAAGCAAATGACAGCAGAGACATGTGCCCCCAAATAAGATTAGTAAGAGGAAAAGGTCTGTGGCCAAGACAGGTCTACAACGTAGAGAGGAGACAACATCCAGGAAGAAAGGTAAGCCCTCCTACCTTTGGGGACTAGCTAGTGGGCCACCCTCCAGGCAGTATTAGAGACAAGTTACAAAATACAGTGTCAGCAAGATGTCCATACGTTTCCCACAATTATTGAAGAAAGGTTACAGTAATTATATAAAGTCCTTACAGATGAACAAGGAATCTTATGAGTGAAAAAGAGAACTCAACTAAGCATCACTAAACATCTAGGGAAAACTAACATTATAAAAAAAATATAAATCAGCAACAGAACAGCCAAGGAAATACCATTAATAACACAGATTAAGACTTTAATATCTTCAGAGAGATGTGTGAATATACTACATCTATAAAAAAGGAATGAACTACAATTACTAGAAATTAAACAATATAATACTCGACACAAAAAATAACTGAATAGGAGATACAACAGGTTAAAAATTAAGAAATTATCCCAGAATAAACGAAAAAGGGCAAACAATGGAAAGCACGAGAAGTTTATAGATAGGAGCCAGGTGTGGTGGCTCATGCCTGTAATCCCAGCACTTTGGGAGGGTGAGGCAGGTGGATCACCTGAGGTCAGGCTGGTTTCACCAGCCTGGTCAACATGGTGAAACCTCATCTCTACCAAAAATATAAAAATTAGCTGGCCATGGCAGTGGGCACCTGTAATCCCAGCTATTTGGGAGGCTGAGGCAGGAGAATTGCCTGAACCTGGGAGGTAGGTTGCAGTGAGCCGAAATCATGCCACTGCATTCCAGCCTGGGTGACAAAAGTGAGACTCCATCTAAAAAAAAATGTTTATAATTAAGACAAATAGGAAATGAAGAAGCAAACTATCTCTGTTGACATGATCTTATATATAGAAAATCCAAAACAATCCACCAATAGTTATTAGAGCTAATAACAAACTCAGTAGAGTCAGAGGATACATCAACACATAAAAATCAGCTGTATTTTAATATACTACCAATGAAGAATCCAAAAAGGAAATTAAGAAAACAATTCCGGCCGGACGTGGTGGCTCACGCCTATAATCCCAGCACTTTGGGAGGCTGAGGTGGGTGGATCACAAGGTCAAGAGATCGAGACCATCCTGGTCAACATGGTGAAACCCTGTCTCTACTAAAAATACAAAAAATTAGCTGGGCATGGTGGCGCGTGCCTGTAATCCCAGCTACTCGGGAGGCTGAGGCAGGAGAATTGCCTGAACCCAGGAGGCGGAGGTTGCGGTGAGCCGAGATCACGCCATTTCACTCCAGCCTGGGTAACAAGAGCAAAACTCCGTCTCAAAAAAAAAAAAAAAAAAAAAAAAAAAAATCAATTACTAATAACAATGAGAAGAAATACTTGGGAATATATTTAATCAAGGAGGTGAAAGTCTTATATACTGAAAACTACAAAACATTAATGAAAGAAATTCAAGAATACTGAAATAAACAGGAAGACTTAATCTGTGAACAGTCCACAAAGTGACCTACAGATTCAATGTAATCTGTATAAAAATCCCAATGGCCTTTTTTTATAGGAATAGAAAAGCTGATATTAAGATTCATATAGAATACAGGGGATGCTAAATAGTCAAAAGGTATTTTAAAAGAACAAAGTTGGAGGACTCACATTTCCTGATTTCCAAATACACAAACTATAGTAATTAAAACATTGCCCTTTTGCTACTGACATAAGGATAGACATTGGATCAACAGAATAGAATTAAGAGTCTAGAAATAAATCCATACATCTATAGTCAATTGATTTTTTTTACAAGAGTACCAAGACCATTCAATAGGGGAAAGAATAGTTTCTTCACCAAATGGTGCTGAACAACTGGCTATCTAAACACAAAAGAAAAAAAACTGGACCCTTGTCTCTACATATACAAAAATTAACTCACGTATATCAAAGACCTAAACATAAGAGCTAACAAAGCAATACAAGAAAAAGTAGATAATCAGACTTCAACAAAAATAAAAACTTTTGTGCATTAAAGGATACCATCAAGAGATGGAAAAGATAACCCCATGGAATGGGAGAAAATATCCAACAAATAAAATATCTAATAAAGACACAGCATCCAGAATATATAAAGAATTTTATTTTATTTTAGAGAGATTGCGGGGGGGGTCTCACTATGCTGCCCAGGCTGGTCTTGAATTCCTGGCCTCAAGTGATCTTCCTGCCTTGGCCTCCCTAAGTGATGGGATTATAGGCTTGAGCTACCATGCCCAGCCACACATATAAAGAATTCTTACAATCAACAACACTAACAACAACCCAATTAAAAAACAGGCAAAGGACCTGAATAGGCACTTCTCCAAAGAAGATATACAGATGGCCAGCAAGCACACGAAAAGATTCTCAATACCACTAGCCATTAAGCAAATGCAATTAAGACCACAATAAGATACCACTTTGTACTCACCAGGATGGCTATCATCAAAAAATTGGAAAACAAGTGTTGGTAACCATGTAGACAAATCCGAACTCTCACATTGTGCTGGTGGGAATGTAAATGGTGTGGCTGCTCTAGAAAAGAGTTTGGCGGTTCTTCAAAAAGTTAAACGTAGAATTACCATATGCCCCAGATAAATGAAAACAGGAACTCATATGAATACTTTATATGAATGTCTGTAGCAGCACTATTCACAACAGCCAAAAGGTAGATACCAATGTCCATCAACCAATGAATAGATAAACAAAATGCAGTATAGCCATAAAATGGAATATGAACCTTGAAACATTATGCTAAGTGAAAGAAACCAGACACAAAGGCCATATCTTCTATGGTTCCATTTACATGAAATATCTAGCATAATCAAATCTATATTGACAGAAAGCAGATTTGTGGTTGCAAGGGGGAAGGGGGAAGGAAGAATGAATAGTGACTGCTTAATGGGTATGAAGTTTCTTTTTTTGGGGTGATGAAAAAGTTCTGGAACCAGATAATGATGATGGATACACAACCTTGTGAATATATTTAATGTCACTGGATTGAACACTGTAAATAGTTAAAATTCTAAGGAATTACA